CAGACAGACAGACAGACAGACAGACAGACAGACAGACAGACAGACAGGGGCGTCGACCAAAAGAGACGAAGGCTTCAGTCTCACCTGCAAGAGGACACATTGAGGTCTTTCATCACACAGACAGACAGACAACTACAGATCCCAGTCTACTCACAATAATAATAATAATAGTAGAACAGAGAATATTAATGTGCTCACATCTCACACATCATTCAGTCGTCAATGAACTTCTACTTTTCCTCCTCAGAAGACGTGATGTGTGAGCGGCCGAAGATCCACGTCTTCCTGGGGGCTCCTCCTCCTCTTCCTCCTCCTTCTCTTCCTCCTCCTTCTTCTTCTCCTCCTCCCCCTAACGACTGGAGAGACCTGGAGCTCACCTGGCAGGATGGATGCCTGAGGCCTGCAGCAGGTGAGGCGTTCAGGGACCCAAACAGGGTCAGTTTATTATAATATTATATTTACTGAGAGGTGCATTGTTGTTATTCGTTTTTTAAACATTTATTCTGTCTTTATATTTCTTATTTGTATTTATGTATATATTACAAATTGCGTTTGTGGGTTTTGTTCCCTTTAGAACGGAGCCAGGCTAGCTGTTCCCCTGTTTCCAGTCTTTATGCTAAGCTATGCTAACTAGCTGTGGCTTCATATTTACTGTACAAACATGAGTGACAATCAGTCTTAGCATCTCTTAGCAAGAAGAAAAATATGTGTATTTTCCAAAAATGAAGTAAAAAAAAAAATAAATACAAATACTTTTCTCATGTTTCAGACGAAGCTGGAAACCGTCTGTTGGAGGAACGAAGAAAGAACAAAAAAGCTGAAGGATCAACGTCGAGGTCACACATCCAGGACCATGAACCAGACAGAGATCAGGAGGACTCGTGTCATCTCAGACCTGCAGACAGGATCCTGAGGAGGGACGAAGAATCAGAGGCAGGACCGGAGGATCAGTGTTCGGCCTCAGTTCTAGAGTATCTGGACAGCTGTTTCCCTGCAGCTCAACCAGAACCAGTGAAACCAGAACCTGACCCTCCTCTGTCCGCCCAGGCTCAGTTCCTCACCACCTGGACTCTGAGTCAGGCCTTAATCCTGAGAGGCAGTAGTGGAGTCCAATCAGCAACCGGCCCTGACAAAACCCCGCCCCCTCAAACCCCGCCCAAGAACACCCAAACGACTCCATCCGTCTCCTCCAGCACGCCGGAGCTCTTCAGCCCCGTGACCCCGTCACCCAGAGCCTCCCCAGAGCTCTCCGGCCAACGCTGCCCGACCCCGAGGGCGGAGGAAGGGGGCGTGGTGGTCGAGGCCACCGCAGACGGGGTGCTCTGCTCCCAGGAGTGCAGGACCCCCCAAGACTCTTCTTCCAAACCCCCTGATTCCAAGAAAGCTAGAACCTCAGAGAACCTCTGGACCGAAGAGTCCGCCGACGCTGCCGCCACCGGGCTCCGAGGTTTCTCCACACTTCTGATCCGGTGTGACAAACAGGGGGTTCGGCACTCGGTTCTGGTGGCGGTGGTTCACCCCTGTCACCTGAAGGAGGTGAAGGTGAGTGGAGATGTTACGACGTGTAAAGACAATTTCTTACGTTATTGTTGTTATTGTAATATTATTTCGGAACAATAACAATATGCAACCACTAGCATGCTAATACGCTCACAGTCTCGATGCTAACGTGCTGATGTTGTGCAGGTATGATGTTCATTTTGTGTGTTAGCATGCTAACATAACTAGCACGCTAACATAACTAGAGTCCAGCTGAGGCTGATGACTGCGTTTAGTTCTGCAGGTATTTGGTCATAAACCAAAGTATTGGACATATTTCACATGCTGAACCGATGATGGCGCTATGATGGAAGAGTCAGGAGGGTTCGTCCTCTGGGGAACACGAATGTCTGGACTTGATGTTGAGTTATTACGACACAGCTAGTGTGGCTAAACATTGTGATTCAAATAAATGCCTCCTTTAATTCACCGGACTCCTACCAACGCTCTGGAGGTAACGCCTTTGATTTTGTCGGACTGAAGGTGAAGGCCGGGCCGTCGGCAGGAAGCTCCGTCCCTCTGGCGTCCATCGTGGTGACGGACCAATCGGGTGTCGAGATGAAGGTGGTGCTGTGGAGACGGGCGGCGTTCTGGGCATCGACTGTCAGTCCTGGAGACGTTCTGCTCATCACAGGTACAGAAATGTAGATGAATGTTTGTATAACTCACCGCTTTAAATTATAGGCATTATGCATAATTGAGGGCGTGGCCTATTTGAGTGACAGGTGGCTAGCTGCTAGCTCAGCTCCACCATCCATCCACCTCTTTGATCATTCTTAGAGTTCGTCTGTGTCGTCACTGAGACTTTTTTCTATATTTTTACAGTCTGAGCTCCACAGTTCATCATGAGAGCGTGGCTTTCAAATTCATCCTCGAATGGAGAACATTTTCTCAAAGTTCTGTTTGGAAAATGTCAAGTGAGGGATCGTTCATGCCAGAATCTGAACCCCAGTCAGTTGATTGACTGAAGGGGGTAAAGAACAACTCCAACACGGTGTTTTAAGGTGGAATGAAATTAGATTTTCGGTGTTGACAGCGCTGACTTTTGAAGGGAAAGAGAGCCAAAGAGCCCACATATGGGAAGTTGAGACTCCATACGACACCAGCAGACCTTTACAACCAGCTCCACATAGTCACTGGACAAACCACAGGGCCCCGTGATGCACACGAAGGTTGTGGTTGTTCGTTGTGGTTCTTCTTCGTGGTGCTCAGTACCTTCCCTCTCTGTGGTCTCCGATCAGGACTGCAGGTGAATGACGACCGGTGGAGAGGAGAGACGGTGCTGCAGTCCACCTTCAGCAGCAAACTGCTCAACCTGGGACGGATCACCACCTCCACCTCACCGCCAGGTACGACCAACCAGCAGCCTTCCTCCTCCTCCTCCTGGGCTCTGGTCCAATCATCTCTCTCTCTCTCTCTCTCCAGCTCCTCGGCATGTTAACGCCCTAGCTCTCAGCTCTTTGTGTGGCTTTCTTCGGGAGCAGCGCCCCCTGCTGGTGTCTCTGAACCTCCGCCCACCTCAGGACCTGAGCCGCCTCCCCTACGCCACCCTGAGGTCGCTGAGAGTCAACACGCTGGTCCACGCGCTACTGCGTGTCACGCACACACACATCAGCACAGGTGGGTGGGTCAATAACACAGCGGCATTATGGGTAACAGAGCGCGCCGTTTCTCTGCTGTGTCTGGTTCCTTATTAACACATTTTTATCAAAACATCGGGACGAAAACACACTTCTAGACAGGAAATAAAGACCTGTCAGAATAAGAGCAGGAAAGGAACATAGAAACAGAAGGTTGTTAGAAAGGATTCAGCCTGAAGAAGCAGGATGTTATATTACTACATTGATTGGTTTTGATGTTTTGATGATGTTAATGAGATGGATGCTTGTCAGCTTGGCGGAGTGAGGCGGAGTCTTGCTTCAGGTCAGCCGTTCAGCTGCAGGCCGTTCTGACTGTGGAGCAGCCGCACGGCCAGCAGGGGGCGCTGCTGCTGTGGGGAGCAGCTGTGGACTGGCTGCCTCGCTTCAACAGAGACAGAGGTACACACACACACACACACACACACACACACACACACGTACGTACGTACATGTGTGAAGACACTAACTCACCCAAATCCCCCTAACAACCCACGTAATCCTCCGTGTCCTTCAGCGGCTGTCTGGGAGTTCCAGTTCCTCCTCGTCAGGGAGGGTTTGACCTCCGACCTCGCCGAGCTGCACTCCACCCCCTGGAGCTCGGTCCGGCCTCTGGATCCCGCCAACCGCCGGGCGCAGGACTTCCTTCGACCGCGACCCGTCCGAACAGGAAACGGCAGCAGTCTGGAGCTGGACCTCGACACGCTGCTGTCTCAGAAATACAACGGTGAGTTTGAGAGCATTGCTGATGCAGATTAATCTGTAAAGACATTGTAAGTATAGTCTGAGTGGTTTGAGACGGGTTAGTCTGCACCTTACTGCATTTCACTCTACAAAACCACACATGTCAACCTGGTGGTGGTGCTAGAAACGCATTGGACCTAAACATGAACCCTGAAGTACACCAGAGGGAAGTCAGAGCGCTCACATGATCAAAGGTTTTGCGGTGTCCTCCACCAGGTGATGTGGAGCTCAGAGTCCAGGTCACAGCCTTCCACTTCGAGGACTCTACGCCGTCCCAGAATGCACCTCAGCCGGTCCTGGACAGCTCTACACCGCTCGCCGGTATCCTCGTGGCGCTGAACGGTGACATCACCTACACCGGCTGCGGTCGCTGCTCCGCCGAACTTGATACCGATGCAAATGGAATCTACGGTCCCTGTTACCCCTGTCTGCCCCACACCGCCGTACGCCGCTACTACAGGTACTACTACAGGTACTACTACTACTACTACAGGTACTACTACATGTACTACAGGTACTACTACTACAGGTACTACTACTAGTACTACCAGTACTACTACTACAGGTACTACTACAGGTACTAATACTAGTAGTAATACAGGTACTAGTACTACAGATACTACAGGTACTAGTACTAGTACTACAGATACTACAGGTACTACTAGTACTGCTACTACAGGTACTACTAAAGGTACTAATACTAGTACTACTACTAGTACTACAGATACTACAACTAGTACTACTACCGGTACTACTACTACTACTACTGGTACTACTACTACTACAGATACTACTACAGGTATTACTACTAGTACTACAGGTACTACTACAGGTACTACTACATCATGATGTTGATTATTTCCTTTGTGTTCACATGAACACATTTAAAGAATATATATAATATAAGTCCAATAGTAAGTTAGTAAATACATATAATATACAGAATATACGACTTGCATCGTTTATCTTTACATTAGATTGCAGTACAAATAAATAACATGACATCATCATTATTTTAAATATTGACATTTTGGGAAATCCAGATAAAACATTAATATGTTAATTTACTGTAATTAAAGA